AGTCCTAAGATTTATTATATGCTATACATCTACACGTATTATCAAGTTTTGTTTCTTTTGGCTGCGCCACACGGCTTGTGGGATCTTAGTTCCCCGGGGATCAAACCTGGGCCCTCGGCAGTGAAAGTGCAGAGTCCTAACCACTGGACCACCAGGGAATTCCCTCAAGTTTTAAAATTATACAGAACATAACAATCTTCTTTTGATGATTCAAAAAAATTTTGAGATTCTTGTAAGGTTACTATTAATGAGTATTATCACCAAGATGCAAAAGATGTTCAAAAAAACGTATATCCTATGATATTCCCAGAAACATGCTTGCCTGTAAGCAAATCCTATTATTGATATTTTACCTTATATCTCTTTCTCATAAAGGTTGCGTGCAATCTCCCAAAATAAGTAGTTACTTGAGTTTATGGTTGTTTGTATGCCAAATAAAAATAAATTTCCTGGATTTTTAACATTAGTAAACTATTAATTTTTGCCCTTCAAGTTTAATTTTTTAGATTAATGGTGGCTTCAGAAGAATTGTTTAGGGAAGCAGGCATTATTTCCACTGAAATATTTCCATTATTCCAGGAAAAACAGAGGGGGGCATGAAGGGATGAAAAAAAGTACACTTTAAAGCTATCTACATGTTATTGCACAATTATTATGTCAAGGGTATTAAGTTAAGGTGGCAAAGGCTTGAATGCTACAAAGGTCTAATATTAATCAGAAGGAAGTCTAATACTCAAACATAACTAGCGTGGACTCAAGGGACGATATCTATCATTGATCTGCTTAAAAGATTTCCTGTTGTTCCATTGGGAGAAGATAAAATCCTGTGCCCTAATTATTCAAACACCTCTGAACGTAAAATTTTGCATGGTACATTGTGGTTTTCAATGCTCAAAGTTGAATTTACCATGGAGCTGGAAAAAAAACTCAGACTGGGTAAGTAGCAAGAGTGCACACCCTTCCCATTTTATTTGCAAGGTGACATGATGATGGAAAGGGAGATGACAAATTGGAAAAGATATGGAAATTTGGGAGCTAATAAAATCTCCTGAAAATCTCCCTCTTTGGAATCAGCTATGAATAAGAGCCCTGATGCCCATGGTATGGTAAATACCCTGTATCCAATAAAATTTCACAAGATTCGCTGGGCTAATGAGCCTATCTTGTTTTTACCTACCCTAGAACCCTAACAAACCATGGCTCTGTGGTGGATGGTACCAAGAACAAATACCTAGCCAAATTCTAATGAAATTCTATAGATAAAAAAGCAGATAAAGAAAACTACAAAAAGTGGCCCACATATGTGAAAATAGCTCTCCAAATACATGAGAAATCTATGTTGAAAAGGCAAGTAACTTAACTGTCTCCACCTTAGAACTATTTCCCTCTAGAAACTACTATCACAGCAACGCAATGACCTAATTGCGATGCTTTGTAGGGCTATTTTGCATTTGCATATTTTCATATTTATTGCATGAAACAACACTTGGGTATATAATTAATAAAATGCTTTTGAAATATAATTTATTTTACAATGGTTTTTATTTGAGTAGTGTGAATACAGTAGAGAATATAAACTCAACTACAGGGGCAAGACAGTAATGTATGTAAATGAAGCAGGCCAGGTATAAGACTACAGCAAGGATGGAGAGTACGTGCCCGATCTAAGGAAAGCAGCAGTTACTCAGCTCCAGCTGACTCTGCCGTGGGAGAATGCAGGCCCAGGTGTTGTCGGTCTTCAGATTTTTTAAAAAGAGAAGTTTAAAATCTAAAAACTGATGCAAACCTCCAAAATTTTAATATTAGGAACTTATTTATTATTTAAAATACTAAGTGGCCAATCTTGCTTATAAGACAGATAATGCCCTTGGGCCCAAAGATTGTGACTTCTAGAGAAGAGCTCAAAATAAAATTCATTGACATTTGGGAGAATATTCAAAGACTTGTAAGTTAATCTTAAAAGGAAGGGAGGAAGGGCTTCCCTGGTGGTGCAGTGGTTAAGAATCCGCCTGCCAATGCAGAGGACACGGGTTTGAGCCCTGGACCGAGAAAATCCCACATGCCGCGGAGCAACTAAGCCCGTGTGCCACAACTACTGAGCCTGCGCTCTATAGCCCGTGCTCCGCAACAAGAGAAGCCACCACAATGAGAAGCCCGCATACAGCAACAAAGACCCAATGCAGCCAAAAATAAAGAAAGGGAGGAAAACCATATACAGACTTGACGGATTCTTCCCATGAGATATTTAAAAAATGCTGAAATATTTTTATGTGGATAAATACAAACAATTAAGCTGTGGGTTTAAGCCTTGGTTAGCATTTCTCGAAATGCAGGATTGTGTGGCACGTTAACAGGTATCTCATGAAAGCAAGTGCAGGTGTAAAAATGTATTTGGATTAAACAAAATTGAACAGGTTTCTTTACTGCAGGATTCTCAGTATTTATTATACTAATGTAAATTTTGTGAAGTTTCAGAGCGGGATATACTATGTTACGTTTATTTAACTATAGACACCTTTTAATACAGAGAACTCTAGGTCTTTTGTGCTATACTTTAAGGAACACAGGTTTAACCCAAGAAAAAGCTTAATTCAATGTATGCATTGAGCACATGCTAATAACTTAGCAGGAAGTACACTTAATACTGTACATTCAATTTATTCTGTAGCTATACTGTATAAAATACTATAGCTTAGCAGTATATAATTAAGATCTATGTTTTGAATTGAACTAGTAAAATATGATCCAGTTCCAGGAATCCACAGCTCCTTCTGGTTTAACACTGTCGCCTAAAAAAGTGTTAGTGAGATATACTCTACTTCCTTTAAGTTATAGTCTTAAGACAGCACTTCTGAATTTTAATGTTGAGTCCTACAAAGCTTTGCTAAGCAATTAAAGTAACATACAAAGCGATTTTGATGTAGTAGTAAATTAAGCTAAAACTACATTAATTATATCTAAAGGTTGTAAACCAAAACTAGATTCATGAAATATTATATCTATTTCACATGTAAGCAAAAATGTGAGACAATTAACCATCCTTTCTCATCCAATATATTTAAAAAATTCTAGAGCTAAGTCTATTTTTTACATCCTATAGCTGATAGGATGATATAGCTGATACTTGGTATACTTATCATAACCTGTAAAAGTAAATGTCCCTTTACTGTAAGATAAATGAAAAATTAAGGATAAAATGGCCCTTTGATACTATAGTGAAAATAAACCTATGACAGGTACATGAAATTAAAGATTGCTTTTTAAAAAGTCCTTATATACCTCTGGAAACATTTCAGGCCTATTTATGTAACTGGCTTTTAACTAAATATTTGTATATACATTTATTCTTCATATGTATTTAGTTGTATTTTTTCCAGTGGTATAAACAATATTAAAAAACATTCTTGGGCTTCCCTGGTGGCACAGTGGTTGAGGGTCCGCCTGCCGATACAGGGGACGCAGGTTTGTGCCCCAGCCTGGGAGGATCCCATGTGCCGCGGAGCGGCTAGGCCCATGAGCCATGGCTGCTGAGCCTGCGCGTCCAGAGCCTGTGCTCTGCAATAGGAGAGGCCACAACAGTGAGAGGCCCGCATACCGCAAGAAGAAACAAAAACCAAAAAACATTCTGGACCTTCTCTTTGGAACTCCACTCCATATCAAGTTCATAACCCATATTATGGAGGACAAAACGGCTTTATAGAAAGAGATATTCTAATAAAAGTAGTCCTATCTCAGAGTGAGGGAATATCAAGTAACCTTCTTTTACACTGTGGTCAATTAGTTAAACAAGTACACCTATATTTTTTTAACATTTGTCTGCATCGTATAAACTAGTTATATAAATTATAAGATTTAATAAAGAATCTAGTCAGAAAAATGGCCATAATTTATTAAATCAGAAATCTATGGAATACAAAAAAATGTATCAAAAAAAATCCTGTTACCCTACTTACTAGACAATACTATGTAAGTTACATGAACACAGGGTTTTCATTTTCTCATCTTTTTAGAAAAGACAAAAATGTCACCTACCTCACAGGTTGCTATGAGGATCAAATAAGATAACTGACATAAAAGCACTGTAAAATTCAAACCTCTATACAAATATGATGAAATAATAATAGAAACAACAGCTACTGATCTCTACTACTGAACAAGGAAATAGCATTGTCACAAGTCAAGGCATAATGCTCAATATTATCTGCTTTCAAACAAGGGGTTCAAATTTCACAAAAGGTAATGCTATACAGCTTAATAAGTTAGTTTCTTTGTTAGTTTCTTGTTAGGTATAGGCAATTTTGTTATGTACCATTTTAAACCTACTTTAGAAAAGGATTTTTTCTTCCTCATTTTAAAAAGTTAAAGATATCACGAAAAATGGTAAAACAAAATAAAATGTGGTTACTTAAATTATGAGGAAAAGAAGTATAATGTTAAAAGTAAATGGAACTTGAAAAGGATCACCAGAAAAAAGAAAGACAGTATTGGTGAGTTTTATAAATTAATATAAAAAATGTCAGTAACCAGACATTATTGTGCATGCATTATTTTAAAGGGACAATATCAACATACAAGTATTCTCTGAACTGGAATACCTTCCAGTTCTTATTGAATATAGGTAAAATTTATATGTATACATATATATGTATACATTTTCAAATATTATTTTTATTTTTAAATAAACTGCCTCAAAATATTTTCCCCAGGAAGTATATAAAAAGTAATTTGAATAGATTGTCCTACCAGAGAAAAAGTTTAATTTTGTTAAAATATGCACTAGAATATTTTCTGTGTTCTGGACAATAGATTTAGTAGCCATAGAAGCAATAAATAGTAATATAAGATTATCAAATATTCCTCTTTAATGAAGAAATTCATATATAGTGAAACAAATCTCAAGACTTTTTGTACCAGCCAGAAGAAACTCACTTGACAGTGTCCTTTTATATTATCAGAGATTATGCCTAAAAGCATCATGCATATTAAATGCAATCTTTTACCTTCAACATCATCTGAAAAGGTAGACAGAAATAAATAAAAAGTGGGTGATAAAAAAAGTTTCTTATGTAATAGTATTCACAATAAAATAAATAAGAGCTTAAAAACATCAAATAAACAATATAATCTCTTGAAAGAAGAGACTCATACTCATTTTACTCAAATCTGAGATATCCTAATAGAGATACAGCATATGCTATAAATGTAGGATTATGAGACATTTATCAATAAATTGAAGGGTTATTAAAATATCCTCAAGGTAAAGAACTCTAAAATGAAGTTCATTATGGCAGCTAAGAATTATCTTTTGATGAAGCAGTAAAGAGAGAGTATCAATAACAGAACTGAAGGCCATATTTCTCAATATCTAGATTTTAAAAAATTGACTCTTTCAGGCTACTACCCTAACTTCATATTTTAATCTTTCGTAGAAGAAATGATTCTACTACTGTTTCTCCAAAGAATCGTTTATCCTGTTTCATCCAAAGAATCATTTTTAGATGTTGAATTAAAAATAAGGAGCCCAAATATATTAAGAGAAACAAAAACTTAGACTTTAAACATTATTAGATTGCAAATTTATAATAAAGGAAAACTACCTAATTGATGCTATACAGTTTTTTGAAACACAAAAATTATCACTACAAACTAGAAAAGAGCTAAATTTTCCATCTGAAACAACTAAGAAGAGTCTTTTTCTTTAATGTTTTCTAACAAGTATATTGTATCTAATTTTCTCATCTGAGAAATGACTAGGAGAAATAAGTATCTTTATCTGCAAAGTGTGTTCTTGCGTGTACTGTATTTAAGTATTGTCATGTGACTGACAGCCTCTTTTTCCATGGGAACCAAATTATGTTTACTAAAGATTTTCTACTAAAGAAATTAATAAAGTTAAACTGTCAGCTAGATATCACAGAGAAATAAAAATTTAAGAAAAAGGATATTCAAGTCTAAGAAATTGTGACTATTCAGGACAACCTAGTTTCAAATGTTCCTACTACTGGTATTTTGTGAAGTTAATATCTACATATATTTCTGTTCTACTTTTATTTCAATAAAATGTGTGCAAACTCAATATTATCTACATTTCCTTATGCCTTGTCTACTCAGATTTTGGAAGACCCTATAACTTCCGTCTAAATTAGACTTATAAAATGCATGAATATTGCCCTTCTGATTGTCTAGAAAAATGAAAGACCCACTGTGTCCTACTACAACAGCCAATGTGATATGAGGAAAGCACTCTTCAACAGCACTGTAAAATGTTACTCAGTGCATGTTTTTACAATAAATGGAACAAAATGTATAGGCTTCCAGTCAAGTATTTCACATGCTGGGAGTTCCCTGGTGGACCTAGTGGTCAGGATTCCAGGCTTTCACGGCTGTGGCCTGGGTTCAGTCCCAGGTCTGGGAACTGAGATCCTGGAAGCTGCGTGGTGTGACCAAAACAAAACGAAACAAAACCTTCTAAATTTAAAAAATTGTTGCTCTTTATAAGTTAACATAAGTCTTATGTGAAAAGTTTAAGTATATATCAGGAAAAACCCTCTAACTTCATACTGCTCACCAGGTAACACATAAATAAAATAGTTTGATTTTTAATCAATAGCCAAAAATGATTATTTAATCTAGAGAATACTAATATTCATTCTGCTCAACTAAAATCAATACAAAGAGAGGGAAAAATATTTTTTAAAAAAGAAGAATCTAATTCCATCTCCAAATCACATACAAAGCAATCATCTTAAAGATATTTTTCTGGAACTAAGCTAATGCCTTCCCTTTACTGATGAAAAACAAAAAAAGAAGGAAAAAAGAAAAAATCCTTATAAATAAATTTATAAAATAAACTCAACCTTAAACCAGCAAAATTGGCACAATCCAGTTGATTTTATGTACAGAGAACACAGTAAAAGAAACTTACCTACTTCTTCTTCTTCATCATTAGATATTATATTATAGAGTGTGTCCAAAGCATAACCTATTATTTCAGAATCCGAACTGGAAGAAAGAAATTATTATACTTATACACTGCTAGTTAGAGTATAGCTGTTATGACCATTTTATACTCTTATTTAACAAGACTGCAGGAAACATTAATCCCATTTCTGAAAAGCTACCCTAAGAAAATATCAGAGTGCAAACTGTAAAGATGTATAAAGGTTCATTTCTATTTATAATAGTGAAAAATTAGAAGCAACCTAAATGTCCAATAATTCTTTTTTAAAGTGTGGTAAATCCATACCTATAGCAGCAATTACAAAATGTATTTTTAAAGAATGTTTAATGACATGGTAATTAAAACACCCTTGATTTAGTGCCAGTAGGAAAAAACTGAATATTAACAATTAATGTGCAGAATGATCCAATCTAGCAAAAAATATATATACATTCATGTGTCTATATATATTTTAAGAAAACCTTATAAATAAATTTGTAAAGTAAACCCAACTTTAAAACCAGCATAATTAGTACAAGCCAGGTAATTTTATAAGTCTGTGTGTATGTTTACATATATGCTTTATAATATATACATAATCTTTATATAACACATAACAGTGTTATCTCTAGTTGGACCTCTAGAATTTGTTTCCCTGATTTATATCTTATTTTCTAAAAAAAAAAAAAAAAACTTACGGTAAACATGTACTATTTATAATATCAGGAAGTATTAAGATTTTTTTCTTTTTTTCTTTTCTCTTTTGTTTCAGCAAGTATAAGATTTTTTAGTTGCTGATAAACAGACAAATTTTGAAAGCATGATGGAGGATGATGGCATTTAGAGTGAAAAGCAAGAGTGAGATACAGGTCAGAAAGATTCAGTGAATATGAAGAAGTGACTAGGAGTGAAAGCAAAGATGAGGGACAAAAGGGGTCACAACCAGAGGATATAAATCTCAAATGAAGTGGGTCTTTTAAATTATTATTATTTATCATTCTTGTTTTTGAGAAATTTTGAGGGACATCTTTTAAGAGACTATTGAGAAAGTAGGAACAGAAGGGAACTTCCTGAAAATGAAAATCCAACAACTAACATATGTAATGGTGAAAGACTAAATGCTTTACCCCTAAGATGAGGAACAAGATAATGATGTCTCTTCCAGCCACTTCTATCCAACATTGAACTTGAGGTTCTAGCTCGAGCAATTAGGCAAGAAAAGGAAATAAAAGGCATACCGATTGGAAAGGAAGAACTAAAACTACACCTATTCCCAGATGACATGATCTTGTACACAGAAGATCCTAAGGAATCCACTAAAAACCTACTAGAACTAGTAAACAAATTCAGCAAAATTGAAGGACATATGCTCAATATAAAAAAAAAAATCAGTTGTATTTCTGTATACTAGCAATGAACAACCAGAAAATAAAATTAAAAGAACAATTCCATTTAAATAACACAAAAAAGATTTAAATACTTTGGAATAAATTTTACTAAAGTACAAGACTGAAAAGTACAAAACACTGTTGAAAGAAATTACCTAAAATTCAAATAAATGAAAAGATAATCTGTGTTCATGAATAGGAAGATGTAATGCTGTTAACATGGTAATATACCCCAACTTGATTTACAGATTCACACAATCCCTATAAAAATCCCAGCTGCCAGCTGATCATAAAATCTGTATGGGAATTCAACGTATCCAGAATAGCCAAAATAATCTTCAAAAACAAAAACAAAGTTGAAGGACTCACATTTCCTGATTTCAAAACTTACTGCAAAATTATAGTAATCAAGACTGTGGCACTGGCATAAGGATAGACATAGAGATCAACAGAATAGAGAGTCTAAAAGTAAATTCTAACATTTATTTCAATTGATTTTTGGCAAGGATGCAAAGACCATTCAATGAGGAAAGAACAGTCTCTTGAACAAATGGTGCTAGGACAACTAGATATCCACATGCAAAAAACTGAAGCTGAACCCCTACTTCACACCATTTACAAAAATTAACTCAAAATGGGATATAAGATCTAAATGTAAGAGCTAAAGCTATAAAACTCTTAGAAGAAAACACAGATACAAATATTCAAAGCATTAGATTAGGCAATGGTTTCTTAGATTTGACACCAAAAGCATAAGCAAGAAAAGATAAAACAGATAAACTGCATTTTGTCAAAATTAAAAACTTTTGTCCTTCAAAGGACACTATCAAGAAAATGTCCTTTGGGGCTTCCCTGGTGGCGCAGTGATTAAGAATCCACCTGCCAATGCAGGGGACACGGGTCTGAGCCCTGGTCCCGGAAGATCCCACATGCGGCAGAGCAACTAAGCCTGTGCACAACTACTGAAGCCTGCGCGCCTGGAGCCCATACTCTGAAACAGAAGCCACTGCAATAAGCCCGTGCACCATAATGAAGAGTAGCCCCCGCTCATCGCAACTAAAGCCTTCGTGCAGCAATGAAGACCCATCGCAGCCAAAAATAAATAAGTAAATACAATAAATAAATTAAAAGAAAAAAAAAGTGTCCTTTGATGACCCAAAGAATGGGAAAAAAAATATTTGCAAATCATGTTAAGGGACTTGTATCCAGAATGTATACATACAATTGAATGATAAAAAGACAAGTAACCAAATTAATAGCAGGCAAAAGACTTAGACATTTCTCTAAAAAAGATATACAAGGGGACTTTCCCGGTGGTCCAGTGGTTAAGACTACACGCTTCCACTGCAGGCGGCCCGGGTTCAATCCCTGGTCAGGGACCTAAGATCCCACATGCCTCGGGGCCAAAAATAATAATAAAAAAAATTAAAAAGATACACAAATGGTAAATAAGTACATGAAAAGATAATCAACATCATTAGTCATTAGGTAAATACAAATCAAAACCAAAATAAGATGCCAAGTTCACCCACTAGGATGGCCATTTTAAAAAAGGGACAATAACAAGTGTTGGTGAGGAGAAATTGGACCTCTATACACTTCAGATGAAGATATAAAATGGTGCAGTCTCCATGCAAGAGTTTGGCAATTTCTTAAAAAGTCAAACCACATGACTCAACAATTGCATTCCTTTGTATAAAACATATGTTCACACAAAAACTAGTACACAAATGTTCATACTAACATTATTCATAACAGCCAATAAACGGAAATATCCCAAATGTCTGTCAACAGAAGAATGGATAAACAAATATGGTATATCCATACAATGGAATATTATTCAGACAAAAAAGGGATGAAATACTAATACATGTTATAACACAGATGGACCTTGAAATATTATGCTAAGTGGAAGAAGCCAGACACAAAAGCCACACATTGTATGATTCCATTTACATGAAATGTCCAAAACAGTCAAATTTATATAGACACAAAGGAGATTGGTGGCTGCTAGGCACTGGGGGGAGGAGGGAATAGGCAATGACAACTAATGGATACTGGATTTCTTTTGAAGTGATGAAAATGTTCTGGAATTAGATAGCGGTGATAGTTGCACAACTTTGTGAATATACTAAAACCACTGAAATGTACACTTAAAATAAAACAACAAAAAACTACTGAGGTGTCATGGTTTGGAAACAGTTTCCATCAGACAACTTTCAGGCCCTGAGTGTGGGACTTGGGAGAACGAGCAGTCTCTCCTCAAGATGGCTATAAGACAAGCAGACCCATGGACAGATGGAGAGTTTCAAGCCAGGCCAAGGAAGGGAACACAACTCTCTGTGATGTAGTCAGGCATGAAGGGGATTCAGTTGAAGGAGTCTGAGAGTGTTAGTTAGGCCAAGAGCAGAAGCATAAAAGAGTAATGAAGATGAGAAGTGGAAAGAGATGGCTGCAGAATATAGACCTTTGCAATCAATGAAGTTAAGAAAACACTCACAGAACATTTTGAGAACAGAAGATAACAGATAAGTATTGGAAGCAAATGGAAAGGGAATTTAGCACAAGAGATGGAATGAAACACAAGAAGGCTCAGAGAAGTTTGGCTTTGTTTGTTGCCTAAGGGTCATAATAAAACACCCATCAGCCTCTAACATGATCAATTATTAGTTCACACATTCACCGGGCTATATGGTACACCTTATTTCTAAACATGGTGCCTGGCACATAGTAAATGTGCTATAAATGTTTTAAAAAATATATTTCTTAACCTTTATATCAAGAGTATCTACACATTATTTTCTACTGTGCACTACAAATGACAATAAGGGCCACTTTACATAGAGGTAGATTCTGTTTTCCATATCAAGATGTTAGTCGTTTTATTACCAACTTTATGAGACTGAGTGAGAAAATGTATACATAAAGACACATGAAATAAAAAAAAGAAAAATTATATGTATGTATAATAATCACACTGAAGTTTTTTTGACCTAAGGCCCATTTTCTCATAACTTGGAATATTGTTTAAAGCAGGTAACTAACTTGGGTTATTTTATTAGTTTTCTACTGATGCTGTAATAAATTACCACAAACTTAGTGGCTTATATAATACAAATATAGTAGCTTACTGTTCTGGAAGTCAGAGGTCTGAAATGGGTCTCACTGGACTAAAATCAAGGTCTCAGCAGGGCTGCCTTCCTTTCTGATGGCTTTAAGGGGAGAATCCATTTCCTTGCCTTTTCCAGTTCTAGAGGCCTCCTTTCATCTTTAAAGCCAGCAAAGACAGGTTGAGATCTTCTCATATCACCTCATTCTGACCTCCTCTTCTGCATTCCTCTTCTAGTTTTTTTTTTTTTTTGGCGATACGCTGGCCTCTCACTGTTGTGGCCTCTCCCGTTGCGGAGCACAGGCTCCGGACGTGCAGGCTCAGCGGCCATGGCTCACGGGTCCAGCTGCTCTGTGGCACATGGGATCTTCCCGGACTGGGTCACGAACCCGTGTCTCCTGCATCGGCAGGCGGACTCTCAACCACTGCGCCACCAGGGAAGCCCCCTCTTCTAGTTTTAAGAAGCCTCAGGATTATATTGGGCCCACCTGGATAACCCAACATAATCTCCCCTATCTCAAAATCCATAACCTAATCATATCTTCAAAGTCCCTTTGCCATCTAAGGTAACATTCATAGGTTGTGCTGATAGAATATAAATATCTTTGGGAGAACCATTACTCTGCCTATTGCAGTTGCCCACTCTGGTGTTAATGAAACAGACAGTCCTGACATATCCAGTGGATTTATTAAAACACATTAGACTTAGTTGGCTTTGAAAGGTAGCCAATGTGGGTCACACTGAGGAGGATAGAAAAGGTTCTAATTGGTATGAACAAGCAGCTGGGCATTGCTGAAATACAATTAAAAAAGGGGTTATGAGGTTAGACAAGCAGCATCTTGATCTTTAAGAAGCTTATATGCTTTGCTTTGTTTGAGGAACTTGGACTTCACACTGCACGGAGCTGTGAAATACATTAAATAGGTGAGTGACAGAAGATTTACATTTCAGACGGAAATGTAAATGAAATGAAATTCTTGAAATGAATGGAAGGACAAAGAGATCAGAGGCAAAGAATACAGTTTGAGATGGTGGTGGTGTTTTTTTTTTAAATTAATTAATTTATTTATTTTTGGCTGTGTTGGGTCTTCGTTTCTGTGCAAGGGATTGCTCTAGTTGCTGGGAGCGGGGGCCACTCTTCATCGCGGTGCACGGGCCTCTCACTATCGTGGCCTCTCTTGTTGCGGAGCACAGGCACCAGACGCGCAGGCTCAGTAATTGTGGCTCACGGGCCCAGCTGCTCCGCGGCATGTGGGATCTTTCCAGACCAGGGCTTGAACCCGTGTCCCCTGCATTGGCAGGCAGATTCTTAACCACTGTGCCACCAGGGAAGCCCGTGGTGGTTTTAAAATATGTCAAAAAACCCTCTTTTATACAGCTCCTTTCAAAAGGTGGACCCTAATTTTCCTCTTTTTAAGCGTAGGCTATATTTATTTATTTGCTTCTAATAAAATAAAATGTGATGGGATTGATGATATGTGACTTCTGAGACTAAGTCCTACAAGGTACTGTGGCTTTGTTCTCTCTCTAAGATCGCCTGCTCTGGGAGAAGCCAGTTCCCATATCATGAGGATGCTAAAGCAGCCCTACAGAGAGAGCAACAAGGTGAGGTACTGAGGCCTCTTGCCAATAGCAGTGTTAGTGAGCCATCTCAGAATCAGATACTCCAGCCCCAGTCAGGCCTTCAGATGACTGTACTGCTGGCTGACATCTTGCATGCAACCTCATGAGAGACCCTGAGCCAGACCACCTAGCTAAGCCACTTCTGAATTCCTGATCCACAGAAACTGTGACATTAATATTTGTTATTTTGAGCCAGTAAGTTTTGAGGTAATATGTTATGCAGCAATAGATAACTAATACAGCGGCTATGAAAATGGCTTAAGTGATTAATATGGAGAGCCAGAACTAAGACCAACAATGGAAATCAAGAAAATTCATGGATTCCAGCTTTTTTTTTGTCTGGATGGGCATAATGCGTAAAGGAGAGGGATAAGTTCAGCACAAATCCTCCAGTTTCCTCTTTTAATGGAAAGGTGCTAACTGGGATGAACTTGGGTCAAAAGGCAGTTGAAGTGGATTGGGTGGGTAGGGGGGATGTCTGGAATAGGAGTAGGAGAACTAGAGACAAATTAACTTTTGAACATTTATAATTTAAGATACCTCTGAGAGCTCTTGATATGGTAGAGAAGTCTGTTGAACAGCTAAAGCTTTAGGATATATTTATTAACTAGGGGTAAGATTTGAAAGTTATTCATGTATAGTTGTTAATTAAAACCAAAGAGGCAGATACTCTCTTTAAGAGAAATTGAAAGAGCAAAAACTACGCTGAGTGATTTTTCCCTTAAGACATCATTCTATTAGTACAATTTATTTCTCTCCCCCCAAAAAGAAAGTCTGGGTAACTGATATACCATAATATTCATATTATATTATAGAACAGTACATTATAGTATACCTGAATGAAAATCAACACATTCATTTGGTCAATTCAAACTCCAAATTTTAAGCCTTTAATTAGCAGTAACTTCATTACATTTTTATATAATGGAAAACTTTCAACCCCTGAAGGTTGAGATTACGTCTGTCCTAATGCTTTATTAGCATAGGGGTTTGCACCTAGTATCCAATAACTGTTTATTGAAATGACAACTGAAAGTAAAAACTTAATAGCCTTAACATGTCAATCATTTCTGGAATAGTGACTCTAAAACAAATTAATTAAAGTTTCAAGAAAAATTAGGGAGAAAAATCATTAAATGGAGACATACCGATCTGTTTGTAAAACATGGATAAGATGTTCCATAGCTTGAATACCCACTTCCAAGCGATATTTCTGCACAAAAGAAAAATGTTATATAAGTAACTAATATCCAACTTAATAAACTTAATAACTGATAAAGTGTTACAGACCTTAGATAATGATTTGAGAGCACGCACAGCATTTCTTCGATCATCCAGTAACGTAGATGAAGCTACTCTATCACAAAGCTTTTGAATCTGTAAGGGAAAAATGAAATAGCATCAATAGAGTAAAAAGAACAGAAAAGAAACATGAAATTTTCCCCCAAATTTATACCATTTATTTGGAAAAATAAAAATCAATAAATGGGATGTCATGGAAATAGTCTTTTCACTAATAGAAATAACTAGGTAGTATTATAATCTTGTTACAGAGATCAAATAGATTTTTCACAGAGATTTGAAAAATGGAAGTGGTGGAAGAGAAGTCAAATAAAGTAAGTCATATAAATTGAGGAATTAAGAGAAATTAGTAGAACCAGAGCTTTCTAAACATACCTATTACAGCTGTTTGAACCAAGAGGGTTGCATAATCCATTAGGGTTATGGTATATGATGGGAAGTTAATAAAAAAAAACTAAAATAATGATTGTTTACATCATAACTTCACCCTAACGTTTCCACTATATATTTGAACGAGAAAAGTCAGAACTGTTTATCAAAAATTTAAAGTGTGCCTCAAAATCTAGAAGGGTGAAATGTTCCAAGCTTTTAATAAATTTGCAGGAATTAAAACTTAAACTGAACTTTAAAATAAACCTTGGAGCATTATTTACAATAGGAAAAAATTGGAAACTGTCCATCAAGAGAAGAAAAACTAAATAAATTGTGGTACATTCTTCAGTTGAATACTATGCAGCTACTCAAAAAAATTAACTGTACTGACATGAAAATACTGAGATTTAATAAATAGTGGGGAAAAAAGAGCAAATGGTAAAACTATAAGTAAATTGTGAGTCCACTGTTGTAAAAGTACCAAACTGTATGTGTATGTAAAATTGCATTAAAAAAGAATTTGGAAACTCAAAACTATAAAACCTTCTAGAAGAAAGCACTAGAGAAAATCCTCGTGACTTTAAAGTAGGCAAAGTTTTCTCAGACACATAGTAAGAGTATAACTGATAAAAGAAAAACATGGTAGTTTGGACTTCATCACTCCTGTTCTTCAAAAGACAGTGTTAAAAGAATGAAAAGATAAGCCACAGAATAGATGAAAATACTTGGAAAACATCTGATAAAGAACAGTTTATAAAACCACTATACTCAGGTCCTTTATAGCTCTCACAGTTTGTTACTATTTTATTATTATTTATTCCTTAATGACAGTTCTTAGTAAGATTCTATAAATATGAGTTTGGCATAGCACAAACTTTTGCATCCTATGTATTGAAATTAATGGCTTAAATACATATAATGTTTTCCAAATTATGTTCTATAGACTTCCAGTGTCCCAGAAGATATCAACAGACTTCCTATGATCACAGAACCAGTGGGAAGCACAAGGTTATACAAAATTAAATATGTAGGGCTTCCCTGGTGGCGCATTGGTTAAGAATCCGCCTGCCAATGCAGGGGACGAATGTTCGAGCCCTGGTCCGGGAAGATCCCACATGCCGCGGAGCAACTAAGCCCGTGTGCCACAACTACTGAAGCCCGCGCACCTAGAGCCCATGCTCCGCCACAAGAGAAGCCATTGCAATGAGAAGCCCACGCACTGCGGTGAAGAGTAGCCCCCACAGGCCAACACGCACCGACGAAGACGCATTGCAGCCAAAAATAAATAAATTTATTTTAAAAAAATTAAATATGTTTCTGCACTGCAGGATTTCTAGAAGTCTTTACTATGCTGATTTGAATTTCTTCATACTGCAAATGCAGTATGTCAACCGAGCTTAGCTTTACGTTTTGATTTAATTCATTCTACCTACTCACATTTTGAAATTATTCCTACCTTAAATTGTATTTACTTCACAGTAATTTTACTGACTTTCCAAAATGAAAATAATAAAGTTTTCGCTTTATTAAATAATTGGTTGATAGTTTTTCTACTACAATTTTTTTTAACCATGAAAAAAACTACATAAATATCTCGTGAGAAGAGATAAATCTCAGAACTCTCAGCTTAAAAGAATTTCTCAAGCCAAAAAGAGTTTTCCTGAATATGAGTATAATTTTTTCTACTTGAGTCTTGTACATCTATTTTTTTTTAATTTTTAAATTTTATTTTATTTTTATACAGCAGGCTCTTATTACTCATCAATTTTATACACATCAGTGTATACATGTCAATCCTAATCGCCCAATTCAGCACACGACCATCACCATCAGCATCTCCCCCACGGTTTTCCCCCCTTGGTGTCCATACGTTTGTTCTCCACATCTGTGTCTCAACATCTGCCCTGCAAACCAGTTCATCTGTACCATTTTTCTAGGTTCCACATACATGTGTTAATAGATGATATTTGTTTTTCTCTTTCTGACTTACTTCACTCTGTATGACAGTCTCTAGATCCATCCACGTCTCAACAAATGACCCGATTTCGTTCCTTTTTATGGCTGAGTAATATTCCACTGTATATATGCACCACAACTTCTTTATCCATTCATCTGCAAACGGGCATTTAGGTTGCTTCCATGACCTGGCTATTGTAAATAGTGCTGCAGTGAACATTGGGGTGCATGTGTCTTTTTGAATTATGGTTCTCTGATTATATGCCCAGTAGTGGGATTGCTGGATCACATGGTAATTTTATTTTTAGTTTTGTAAAGAACCACCATACTGTTCTCCATAGTGGCTGTATCAATTTTACATTTCCACCAACAGTGCAAGAGGGTTCCCTTTTCTCCACACCCTCTCCAGCATTTGTTGTTTACAGATTTTCTGATGATGCCCATTCTAACTGGTGTGAGGTGATACGTCATTGTAGTTTTGATTTGCACTTCTCTAATAATTAGTGATGTGGAGCAGCTTTTCATGTGCTTCTTGGCCACCAGTATGTCTTCTTTGGAGAAGGTCTATTTAGGTCTTCTGCCCATTTTTGGATAGGGTTGTTTGTTTAATATTGACCTGCATGAGCTGTTTATATATTTTGTAGATTAATCCTTTGTCCATTGATTCATTTGCAAGTATTTTCTCCCATTCTGAGGGTTGTCTTTTTGTCTTGTTTATGGTTTCCTTTGCTGTGCAAAAGCTTTTAAGTTTCAACAGGTCCCATTTGTTTATTTTTGTTTTTATTTCCATTACTCTAGGAGGTGGATCAAAAAAGATCTTGCTGTGATTTATGTCAAAGACTGTTCTTCCTATGTTTTCCTCTAAGAGTTTTATAGTGTCCAGTCTTACACTTAGGTCTCAAATCCATTTTGAGTTTATTTTTGTGTATGGTGTTAGGGAGTGTTCTAATTTCATTCTTTTAAATGTAGCTGTCCAGTTTTCCCAGAACCACTTATTGAAGAGGCTGTCTTTTTTCCATTGTACATCCTTGCCTCCTTTGTCATAGATTAGTCGACCATAGGTGCATGGGTTTATCTCTGGGCTTTCTATCCTGTTCCATTTATCTATATTTCTGTTTTTGTGCCAGTACCATATTGTCTTGATTACTGTAGCTTTGTAGTATAGTCTGAAGTCAGGGAGCCTGATTCCTCCAGCTCCGTTTTTTCCCCTCAAGACTGCTCTGGCCATTCGGAGTCTTTTGTGTCTCCATATAAATCGTAAGATTTTTTGTTCTAGTTCCGTAGAAAATGCCATTGGTAATTTGATAGGGATGGCACTGAATCTGTAGATTGCTTTGGGTAGTATAGTCATTTTCACAATATTGATTCTTCCAATCCAAGAATATGGTGTATCTCTCGATCTGTTGGTATCTTCTTTAATTTCCTTCATCAGTGTCTTATAGTTTTCTGCATACAGGTCTTTTGTCTCCCTAGGTAGGTTTATTCCTAGGTATTTTATTCTTTTTGTTGCAGTTGTAAATGGGAGTGTTTCCTAATTTCTCTTTCAGATTTTTCATCATTAGTGTATAGGAATGCAAGAGATTTCTGTGCACTAATTTTGTATCCTGCAACTTTAACAAATGCATTGATTAGCTCTAGTAGTTTTCTGGTGGCATTTTTAGGATTCTCTATGTATAGTATCATGCCATCTGCAAACAGTGACAGTTTTACTTCTTCCCCAATTTGTATTCCTTTTATTTCTTTTTCTTCTCTGATTGCTGTGGCTAGGACTTCCAACTATGTTGAATAATAGTGGCGAGAGGGGACATCCTTGTCTTGTTCCTGATGTTAGAGGAAATGCTTTCCGATTTTCACCAGCGAGGGCTTCCCTGGTGGCGCAGTGGTTTAGAGTCTGCCTGCTGATGCAGGGGACATGGGTTCGTGCCCCGGTCCGGGAAGATCCCAGATGCCGCGAAGCGGCTGGGCCCGTGAGCCATGGCCGCTGAGCCTGCGCGTCCGGAACATGTGCTCTGCAACGGGAGAGGCCACAACAGTGAGAGGCCCACGTACCGCAAAAAAAAAAAAAAAAAAAGATTTTCACCATTGAGAATGATGCTTGCCGAGTGTTTGTCATATATGGCCTTCATTATGTTGAGGTGTGTTCCCTCTGTGCCCATTTTCTGTAGAGTTTTTATCAAAAATCGGTTTTGAATTTTGTTGAAAGCTTTCTCTCAGCATCTATTAAGATGATCATATGGTTTTTATTCTTCCATCTGTTAATATGGTGTATCACACTGATTGATTTGCGCATATTGAAGAATCTTTGCATCCCTGGAATAAATCCCACTTGATCATGGTGTATGATCCTTTTAACCTGTTGTTGGATTCTGTTTGCTAGTATTTTGTTGAGGATTTTTGCATCTATATTCACCAGTGATATTGGTCCCTAATTTTCTTTTTTTGTAGTATCTTTATCTGGTTTTGGTATCAGGGTGGTGGTGGCCTCATAGAATGAGTTTGGGAGTGTTCCTTCATCTCCAATTTTTTGGAAGAGTTTGAGAAGGATGGGTGTTAGCTCTTCTCTACATGTTTGATAGAATTCACCTCTGAAGCCATCTGGTCCTGGACTTTTGTTTCTTGGAAGATTTTTAATCACAGTTTCAATTTCATTACTTGTGATTGTTCTGTTCATATTTTCTGTTTCTTCCTGGTTCAGTCTTGGAAGGTTATACCTTTCTAAGAATTTGTCCATTTCTTCCAGGTTGTCC